CCATGAAAATGTTGCAATTAAGTGATCAATAAATTTTATATGTTAAGATCTCCCAAACACACATCTGAAGACCCTAAATAAGAATGACTTGAATCAAAATTGTTCCAAATAAATGGCAGGGCATGGAACAACAGGAAACCAGTTGAGTTAGCTGCTTCTATCCCAGGCTCCTTTCCACATTACAGGTTTCTTAGCTTTCAGAAAAAGTTGTATTTCAGCCAAAGAGGAGTAAGGTAATTTGCAAAGCCTTGGGATTGTATCTGTGTGTGTTTGCCTGTATGTGTGTGCATCAGCACAGATAAAATCTGATTTTAAATCTTTCCTTTCACTTCATTTGAAACAGAGAATTTTTAAAAGGGTAATTTAGAATCCAAGCTGATAATCAGATTCATTGTAACCCGCACTTCATAGGTTAGTAGAATTTGAAATGTGAGGAAAATAATTACCATAAATATCTAAACTAAATCCAATAAACAGAGGGAAAAGAGATAAGAAAAACTGAAAACAGAGCCAAAGTACTCTTAGGAAAGAAAAGGTAAAGAGTTATTGATAATGGTTAAAATCTACTTAAACAAATAATTTATACATTGGTATTTCTGTGTTTTTCAGAATTATTCAACAAAATAGTTGCTCAAGAAAGAGAAATTAATATAGTAAGTAATGATAACCAAGAAATAAGTAATTTTCATATTTTTGGAACAGTGCTGAATCTCTAGGGAAATAATAACACATAAGAATTACACTGAGATATACCTAAGCAAGTAAAACCATTCATAGCATCATCACTGGCCAGAACTATAGCAAGGCCTGGCAGAAACACCCAGACATGTCAGTGAGGCTGACCATGCAAACAGAGCACAATTAAATGAAAGCACAGGTCACGTGGTGGTGCTCTGTAAGTGTGTGATGGGGTCATTCCCACCATGACCATTTGCCATATATTCTCTGGTGAAATGTTCTCAAATAGGTAACTTACATTTACACTATGGAAAAAGCATTGCTCTTTAACACTTTCTGAAAATGAACTCAAAACATACACTCATGATTTCTGATTTGAAAACAAAGACACAAGTTAAGGAGAAAATCAGATTAAACATCCTTTTATGTCCACACTATATACACAATCATGCCTGTACACACGGCGCAGATGCACACAATCTTCCTGGGATCTCCGTTTCAAACCTTTCTCCTCCACTACGGGACTGACAACCAAGACTCATGATGAAAGATCTGGCCACCCCTGAATGTGCCCAAGGATGTCACCAGAGAAGACAGCAGTCTGTCTGTATAGGTCAGTGATACAGAGTAGAGAGTCACTCACCCTTGGTTTTTCTCAACTCCTCCACAAGGCAGTGGGCTTCTTCTTGGACACGTTCCTCAATGCTTCTCTTCCCCATCCCGAAATTTCGCAGGGTCATGAGGGTGAAGCGTCGGATCTGCTTCCATCTACTTCCATTGCTGTTAATGATTCCTACCAGAATGGGAAACAGAAACTAGGAGTGAAATCCCAGGTTAGGAGGAGGGAGCTGACAGTCCATAGGCATGTGGGTGGCCCAAGCTCTGCCCACCCAAGCTGTGTTTCCATCCTTCCTACCCTCTTTGCCACTGCTGCCTCAGGCACTTGTACACTTACCAAGTCCTTTACTAGCTCTTTCGGCAATTGGGAAAAGGCCTCTTCCAGAAAACTCCTCTCCATGATCAATCAGGGCTTCCTTCACTGCTTCATATCCATGTAACACCACTATAGGCTTCATGCCAAAATACAGAGTGAACACTGGGCCATAGACTTTTGAGAACTGGGAAATGGAAGCAAGATGTAAATAACAGCAAAACAAGTCACTATTTCGTCCATGTTTTGTGCCTGTTTAAGACTGATATTATTATTGTATTTTGTAATGTTTTTACCATACAAAGATTCAAATATATCTGAATGTTATGCATAAATATGATGGTGATAGTCACAGCTGCCACTTATCAATGAACTCCAATGTGCCCTGGAATGGACTAAGCTATTGGTACACAGATTACAATCAATTCTCACATTGTCAGTCCCATCAAAATACCAATGTCACTTTTCACAGATCTAGATAAATTAATCCTAAATCGAACCAAAAAAGAGTGCAAATAGCCAAAGCAAACTTATGCAGTAACAACA